TGATATTGTGCAGGATGTGCCTGTTGAAAATCCTATGCCTGAAAATTTGTCCGATGAGCCTGATAATCATGTCATTGATGCTAATGTGCATGAGGAAATTGTTAAAAGTTTTCCTGAACCTGATCTTGGTGATTTGAATGATTATCATTTGGCTAGAGATAGATCTAGAAGAGATAGGAGACCGCCCCAACGTTTTGACGATTTTCATATGACTTCTCATGCTTTTATTGTGTTTGATTTGATTGATAATTGTGAACCTAAGTCATATGAAGATGCTTTGAAATCTGAGAATTCTGTGCAATGGTTGAATGTTATGAATGAAGAGATGACTTCGTTGCATGTTAATAATACGTAGATTCTTGTGCCTAAACCCGCTAATTGTTCTATTGTGGATTGTAAGTGGTTGTTTAAGCTCAAGAATGAGAGTGATTCTGTTAGATTCAAAGCTAGGTTGGTGGCGAAGAGGTTTACACAAAAAGAAGGGATAGATTATACTGAGATATTTGCTCATGTTGTGAAATTTACTACTGTTCGGATTATGCTTGCCTTAGTTGCTCAGTTTGATTGGGAGTTGAAACAACTTGATGTTAAAACTGCTTTTTTGCATGGTGAACTTGATGAGACCATTTATATGCGGCAGCCTGATGGATTTGTTGATTCTAAGTGTCCTAATCATGTTTGTATGCTCAAGAAATCGTTATATGGTTTGAAGCAATCTCCTAGACAATGGAATAAGAAATTTGATGAATGCATGTTATCTTTGAATTTTATGAGGAGCAGTTATGATCACTGTTTATATTTCAAAGAAAATGCCAAAGTGCCTGTTTTCTTGCTTATCTATGTAGATGATATGCTCTTGGTGAGTCCTTGCTTGAAAGCAATTGATCATGTCAAAGATTGCTTGAGTGCTAAATTTGATATAAAGTTTCTTGGAGATGCTAAACGAATTCTTGGCATATACATTCATAGAGATAGAAAGAGTTCTACTATTGTGCTGAACCAGGACACTTATGTGCATAAAAGCTTGAGTAAGTTTTCTATGGTGAATGCTAAGCCTGTTAATGTGCCGTTAGCTGGTCATTTTGTTCTTAGTAAAGAGCAGTGTCCCAAAACTGAATATGATGTGAAATGCATGAAGAATGTGCCATACTCGAATGCTATTGGTTCTGTCATGTATTTAATGGTTAGCACGAGGCCCGATATTGCATATTCCGTGAGTTGTTTGAGTAGATATATGTTTAATCCTGGTGTTTACCATTGGCAAGCCATGAAATGGCTTTTGAGGTATTTGATTGGTTCTGTTAATCATGGTTTGAAATTTTCTAAGCATGATCAAGGTGTTAATTTGGTTGGCTATGTGGATTCCAATTATGCTAATGATAGGGATAATAGAAAATCTACAACTTCTTATGTGTTTACTTTGTGTGGTGCTTGTATTAGTTGGAAATCTCAATTTCAACACATTGTTGCACTTTCGATCACTGAGTCTGAGTATGTTGCTGTGACTGAAGCCTTGAAAGACGCTATTTGGCTTAAGGGTCTATTATCTGAAATTGGTTTTCTTGATAAGGAAGTTGTAGTATTTTCTGATAGTCAGTCTGGGATTCAGTTGTGTATAAATCCCGTTTTTCATGATCGTACTAAGCATATAGATGTTCGGTTTCATTTTATACGTGATATAGTGGCTAAAGGCTTGGTTAATCTTGAAAAAATTGCTTCTAAATTTAATCCGACTGATATGGGAACTAAGTGTTTGCCTGTTGAGAAGTTTAGATCATGCTTGAATATTTTGAACTTTGATACGTGTGATTAATGTGTTATTATGTGAACATTGTGTGAGGTAGCCGACTTTGAGTCTGCTACATATTTGCCCTAACTTTGTGTTTGAGTGCTGGTACGGTAAGGTAAGGCGATGATGACCCCTGTCAACCCGAGTCTTGTGAACGGACTTTGGGCCAAGGTGGAGATTGTTGGTGTTGTGGCCCAAGTGATATTTTATTGATGGCCCAATATTCAACAATGCTCTGACCAAATTTCTTTGGCCTGAGCCTGGTCTGGCAGCCCATTTTATGATCTAATGTGATCATGACCGTTCGTAATAAAGTGGCTTGATCTCAGCCAATAATTGCCCTCTTTAATGTAGTAGCCATCAACCATTGAATTGAGTAGCCCTAGAATAATTTGCAGAAATCTCGCAGTTTTCAAAAATCCGATCTTTATTCTATCTGTTACTAACAAACGCAGCCTTTTAAAATTGAGGATTTGATGTGATTCCTGATCAACTTACTCAAACTATTTCTGTCAATAAATTAAAATTCAAAATCAATAATATTACTCAAATAAAGAAATAAACAAATATGGATATGAACTATATATGCATTGATTTGGATGCTTTTTTGGAGTTCATCAATGAGAGTTTTCCATTTTGTGGCATGTTTTGGAGATGCTTATAATAATAATAATAATAATACTCCCAAAATCTACTTTTTTCAATTAGTATCCCCTCTCTTTTGAAAAAAATATGTCCACTTGATAACTACAATACTTTTGACAAAAATGAAATATAATGTCTCGTTCAAATATCACGCATGTTGCAATGGACTTGTATAAGCATATTGTCTTCCAAAAAACAATATTTAAAAAGAGTAGGTATTGGTAGGTCGTCGTAGGACCAGATTTTCTGAAGAGAAAGGCAAGAAAGAATAAAAGTAAAATCATTTTACTAAAAATTTGTAACTATTGGTCTACCACATAATTGTCGGATTTTATTTTTTGGATTCTATCTGATATGTTAATCAACAGACAATTACATTTATGTGATTATGTGTCAATATATTCTCACAAACGTAATTGGTCATATAAATTTTATAATTTATTATGGTAAACATGTTATGATTAGTGTTCTCAAATCTCACATGATTAATTAGAACCATGCATATTCAATCTAATAGGCAAACTTTTGGGTTTAACTATGACATTATATATAATAATCAATAATAATTTTCTAGAAAAAGAAAAAAGAAAGGTTCAACTTATCAAGCTGTAAAAATATTTTTTGATTTTAGAATAAATAGTTTTAAAATTCAAATAAAAAAATGCAAATAATCTTCATAATATGTAACTTACACGTAAAATTTGATGCAATTTATATTTATATTAGTACTAAAGTTAACAAAAGACATCATCATTTAACTAATTTAATGCAATTCATAGTCATATTAATAGAATAGGTGCTGTTTTAGTAAGCGTTAATATAAAAACGTTTTTACACTTATTAAAACAGCATCTGTGTAATGAACACATCTAATCTGATAAGGGTCGATTATCTCTAAATCGATCGGGAAAACAGAAAAAAAATCACAAACAATTAGGATTCGATCGAGATGTGATCGAACAAAGAAGGGAAAATAAGCAGCGGAAATGAAATTAGGTTGTAATTATGGAAACTGATGATACCATATAGAATTCAATATTGAACAATGGAAGCTGAATGAAAGAACATCAAAATTGAGAAATCTTATTGAAGCTCGAGAGGAGCAATATCGAGAGTCGACTTACAGAGAGATTAGAAATGCAGGGTGAAAATAAGGGAAATGCTATGGTTCCATTACAGAATCATTTTGTCGGAGTTTATAATCGTTAGATCATCATGTAATCGTCGGGGATAGTTAATATAAAAAAAGTGAAAGTAACCTAATCCTAAGATGCCTTTTATACGGGAAAAAAAATACAAAAGAACTGTTAATATAAAAACGTCTTTACACTTATTAAAACAATTAAAAATGTTAGTCATGACAATATAACATTGGGGCTAAGAAGCCCAATGACCTGCCTAACAAGACCATGAGGAGCACATCAAGTGTCCTAAAATACACCAAAAGAACTAGAAGGTTTTCTTCACTTGACTAATGATCAACCATAGACCTCAAGGAAGAATTCCTTCTATCTACAATAAAAAAGGACTAAACCATTTGTTTCTACTAGTAGACAAACTATTATAGAACCAATTAAAAACAAACTATTATACAATAATATTTTAATAAGTCATGACAACATACCATTTGTTTCTACTAGTAGACAAAAAAAGAAGTGGAAAAAATGTTAGTAAGTTAAGAATGACCTCAAATAACATATAAATAGATATTGATAGGAATTTTTTTTTTTTTTCTTCCATAAAAACCATATTGACAAAATTTATGAATTGTTTCTTGTTGAATTACCTCCAAAGGCTTCGTATAAGGTGCACATTACTTGGCTAGCAGGAATTTCCCTCACTTGGAATTTACTAAAATAAAAAATAACTATTTTGGGCATACAAATTCTACAACTTATGCATCTTTTTGTCCTAAATATAATTTTATTGCATTCACTTCACTAATTTCGGTGTGAGCCGGTCTAACGATTAGACGAACGATTAGACGAGTTGACAAGTCATACTATACGAATAAAAATACAAATTTATACTATCAAATGCTATATTTTTATTTATGTTGTTTTTAAAATTATGATATTTCTATTGAAAATATGTATAAGTAGACCTACCGCATTGACTCGTAGCATGCCATGAGCATGGCTTTGTAGTTTGTACTTTTTAAAGTCAACTTTCTCTCTCTCTCTTTTTTTTTTTGTTCCATTTTTAAAGATCAAATCATAATTCTGATGTATAATTTTAGATATTTTAATTTATAGAACTAACTTCTCTGTTTCATAGTTTACCAAATTTGAGAAGAAAAAAATATATCTTGAAACAGAGTTTAGTCTTAGTTATTTTGTACATTGTTTTTGTGAGCATGGGGAACAAAAACTCAAGCCAAAGAAGATTTTCTTCATCTTCATTCAGTGATTATGGCTATTCACAGTCATAATTAAGCCATCTTTTTTCCATTTTTTTCCGTAGGTTTAATCGGTTTTTCGAAGTGATGTTTTCATAGTACAAGGAAGGATTGAAAAGAAGGAAACAAAATGTTATTTATTTATTTATTTTTTGTAGTTTTGCAGGGCTAAAAATAAAAGTATTTGCATCTTTCTTTTTTCAGATTTTTGAAGCGAAATTCGGCGAAATCATTTCAAGTGACATCGATGTTATAGGAACAAACGAGCCCACCTCACTCATTACATGCAAGATTTCAAGTGAGGTGAATTGAAAAATTATTCGAGTACTTTCTGCAATTAAGTGAACCTCAGGGTAGTTTATGTAATTACCTCTGACTTGTGAGCTTTTTGCAGATACTTACAAACTGTTTTGATGATGATCGAAATTTGCACGAAAAGACATTATTCTTACTTGAAAAACTCAGGCCTTACAGTTGGGATGCAAAAATCGTTCTAACTGTTACAGCTTTCGCACGTATGTTTGGATTATTTCGGCTCGTTTTCCAGCAAAAGTTGCGCAGTGCATTTGCATTTCGGATAGTGATTGTTAAAGGCTAACTGAATCAAAGCCGCAATTTAAGGCTTTGAATTTATTGATTCAAACTGTAGTGAACCGAACAAGACTCATCATTAGATTCGAAGGCATTTATATGCAGCACGAGCTTTTGGATTACACGGCTTTGGATATTACAAAGTCGAAGATTTATTTGGCGACTTATTGGATCTTTAGAAGCATATTAGTATGCTCTTCAGAATTTGCAGATTTAACAAACTTGAGACTTCTTGAGCAAGTGCATATTCTTTCCCTTTCATTTTTCTAACTTAGCTTTTTAGGTTATTTACAAAAAACTACCCAATGGTTTAGCCAAATTACGAAGAAGGCCACATTATATTTCAAAGTTCAAAGTTCAAACATACACACTCCCCCTTTACTTTATATCTGTTATTTCAAGTTTTTGTAAGGGCATTCACATCCCTACCATTCATTCAATAAAAAATTAACACTCTCTTTCATCCACATCATCTCCACATCATCTTTCCACTAAACCTCTCTTCATTTAAACACACACCCACATTCATATTCATTCATTTAAATATATATATGGGACCCATTATTCACTTATTCAATATAAATTTTAATATTTTATTCTCTATAAAAATAAAAAATTAATATTATTAAATTATAATAATAAATTTTAAATGCATGAAAATAAAATAACACTACAAGACCAAAATAACTTAAATTAAAATTACACATGAAAAAATGAGATGATAAAAAAAAGTAAATTACTGATACATATTGAGAAGTAAAAAACAAAAAAAAAAAATAAAAGAAGTAAATGGCGTTCAAGACTTTGAACGGCAAAGGGTGGCCCGCATTTAATGAACGCACCACATCCCTTTAACGCCCCCCTTCCATTTAAACGGAAAGAAAAAATACTGCGATGCGGATGCTCACCTTAAGGAGTATATGCAATTTGACTAAACCTATGGGGAAATTTTTTTAATTACACGATTTTCGGGTTTTTCCTTCGCATGAAACTTTGTTTTCCTTCACATGTGATGAGTAAAGTGTATCCTCAGGCACTCAAACAAAACTGTAATTGCAGCTTGGAGACTCCATACTTTAAGAAGTAAGTTGAATGGTTTGTGTCGTTCTCTTGGTGAATACATCCACAAATGCCAGCAGAAAATAGGTAAATTGTCTTGAAAAGAAAAGAAAAAAAAATGATTCCATAATAGTCCCTTGTGAAAATCGGTATTTCCACCAGTTATTCAATAGCTTTATAAGTTTGTTTTTTTTTCAGAGACAAGGTTGCAAGACAAGCTGCTGCATTTGTTTAAGGAGAATAAAAAAGATGATAGCCAAATTGCTCTAAGGACTTTATTTGCCTCTCAGAATTTTCCTTTTAAGAATGCCTCTTCTGGACAAATGTTCAGTTTATGAACACATATTTTTGTATCATCAAAGTACTTAGTCGATTATTTCGGTTCATACATTTATGACAAATAATGCATCTTTATGTTCTGAAATGAGAAATTTGAATCAATTTACTAGTTAATTCAGTCAAATTAGTGAATAGTGATAAGAATATTGGGGGACTCTTACAATTTTGAAAAATGATTGAGTGTTTCCTGTAATTAAGATTAACCTCAGAGCCTTATTTTATTATATTTTATTTCATTTTTTTTTATTATTACAACAGTGTGACATTGATGAGCTGAAAAATAAGGTTGTTATACTGTTGATCTCAAAGCCAGAGTTTCTCCCCATAGACAACATACATTTTCTGGCAAACCAAATTAAGGATGTTTGTGAATATGCAAAAATACTTTGGGTTCCTATTTCGACTTCTCGCGAGTGGACCTCAGCCGAAAAGACCACTTTCGAACTCGTCTCGAGTTACATGCCATGGCTCTTTAGCCGAAGTCTGAGGCTCTGAAACTCGAGCGTGATAAATTACATTGAACACGAGTGGGAGTTCAAAGACGAGCCAAAGATGGTCGTTTTGAACAAAAATAATGTCGTGACAAACTCAAACGCGATTGATATGGTGAGTGTGTGGGGGCCCACG